ATAACTTTTGTAATAACCACAGTCTTTAAAAACTCCACTGCTATTAATCATTTAATTATGTCGGTCATACTTGTTATAATATTTAGCATATACTTTATTATTATACCAGTTTTCATTCTATATATATATATATATATATATATATATATATTGTGTTAGTCATTATAATATAAGTATTATTTCCTTATTCTTTAACACATGTGAGCAACCTTGATAAATAAGTTATTTCTGATTCTGATTCTTGATTACAAAAATGTATCTACAAGGATGTATATTGATGGGTTGGATTTCAAAATTAGTAGAAGGCCAACCAAAGAAAATTGTAACTATTATTTTTTTTTGGGAGGGTAACTTGTTTAATAATCTAAATTCTTAGTTAATTGTCGCACTACTAGTTTCGGGAAATAATATTATTACTGTAATAGTATTACTAGTAATGAGTTACTGCCCAACAGTTACTGATGCTGATGCAGCTTAGGTAAAACAACATGGATTTTGTTTGTTTCTTTAAATTTTCTGTACAATGGTGATGTAAGTACAATGCAGGGATTAATAGACACTTATTTAGAAATGACTGTTGTCCATTGCAAGATGGAGCAAAAACAATAGCAAACTATTCTCTAAAAGCTCCCTGCACATGCTTTTGTGTGAGTTTTATCGATGTTTACTTTGAAACATGCCATCTGGTACAATCAATAATTTTAATACATGCTGTGAAAATGGTGTATTGCTTTTTTTTTCTCATCATTTGTTGTATTCAGGGTCACCACTGAGGTCATGTCCCTCATGTTTTATGATTTGAATCGGGGGAGTTTGCACCTATACTTGGTATAAATTGGATTGACTTATCCCAGTATTTTCAGATACAACAAAAATATCAAATATATCAATTATTGTGTATTTCCTCATCAGAAATGTATTCTTGCAGCTTTTAAACAACATTTCACCCTAATGTTGGGGAATAAAATATGAGTTCACAATATAACTAAACATAAAATGCAATTAAACAATACCATAAGAACATTTTTGGGGGGGAGTGGGAGGGCGGGTAACTCATGACCACAGGATTTCCACGCCATGTCATCATATATGCTAAAATCCCTTATTCTATTTAGCACTAATTACTGGGCTTTCGAATAAAGTTGGTTTCAATCGACTTTTATTTTGAAAACTGTAGCCGGAAACGTTGTCTGCGTTTCGGTTCAGCTTGACGCAACCAGTCTGGAAACAAAACCCGGGGATTTCTTTCGCCGCTTCGGCATTTTCTGTGCAGAGCGCCTCGATCAGCTGTTGCAGTCGACCTCGGAAACATTGCCGGTTAGAGTTAAGCGTTTCTCTTCTCTTCCGACAAACCAAAAAATACCACCAACATGGAGAACCGAAAACGACCGTTAGAGGCTGCTGAGTCCGATAATGACCGCTTCAAAACACCGGAAAAAAGAGTGTCGGTGGTCCGGCTGCAGGACTCGGACTACATGCGATGGGGAGTGGAGGAAACGTGTCGGTACCTGCGAAGAGAAGGTCTAGGAGAATGGGAAGACGCATTTAGAGGTTGGTTTTCAGGTTAAATGTCAAAAGTAGAACAGTTTTCATCTCATTGTTGGTCTAAATACAGTCAGTTGAGAGAGTTATTATTATTATTAGGCTACCGCTAACTTGCTGCCCCCCCCACCATGTGTGCGTTGTGACATACAACCCCAGTGGGGTAGTTTTGTCTGAAGAAGAGGGTGCTACACCCTTAATGTGTGCCCCCGATGGTGTTTTTTACCACAGGCCGTCCAGCAAACATCCTATTCTTGCATATTTACTTCACCCAAAAGGGGCCTTAAGTGTTTGCACATTGTCTCTTAACTTCTGCTGCTTTAATCCAGGCAGCAAGGATCATTATGTAATTTACATTAACCACAGAAGAGGAGCTGATTCATGCAGTCTGTACTGGCTCACAGACAGGTGAAGCAGCCACATTAAAATTGTGCATTTTGAGTGAAGTATCTGTTAGTCCTTACTCCATCCACTTATGGAAACCCATGTCATGCATTCTCCATCCTAGGAAACAGGAAACTGTCTATACGCCTGCACTACACCACCGTATAACCCTGAATCTAAACTGTTATGTTTCCTCTGTTATCCAGCACAGAAAATCACAGGCGTCGGGCTGCGATATCTTAAGGATGCCGATCTGGAGAAGATTGGTGTAAAGTAAGTGTCAACTAGAAAATGGCCTAGGACACTGTGGGGCTAGGAGGAAACGTGACCAAAGCCACTAACGGTAGTGTTAAAGAAGGCAAAGCCCTCACAACCCTGTGCTACTCTAATGTTTCACTTCATTTTTTCCATTTTTATCCGAACCAGGTGCCTTGGTGACCGTCTGCAGATCCTACACAGCCTCAGGAAGCTGTGGAAGATGGAAACGGAGCAAAATAAGGTATCAGTAGTATCACAGTGCTACACTCTCAAGGCTCTATAGAGACATTAAAGACATAATAGAATAAAGCAGAGGAACTTGTAGGATAAACAGGAAGGACGTGGGTGGGAAAAGGTACGAGGGTCAGTGCATGTAACAATTGTTGTTCTGTCCTTAAGCGTTGTTCCCGCACCAGACTGAACAAAGCTTAAAGCTTGAAAACTAGTTGTTAAAGGGGAAGACTGCATGGTGTGAAATGAAGAAAGACTTGTTCTTAGAGCCCTTGAACTGAGTCTGTTTTGTGTTTTCAAAGCTGTTTGTTGTATGTGTTCTACAGGTGTTTAATGATCCCATCCACGGGCATATGGAGTTACACCCACTTCTTGTCAAAATCATTGACACGCCTCAGTTCCAGAGACTTCGAAATATCAAGCAGCTCGGAGGGGCCTACTTTGTTTACCCTGGAGCATCCCACAACCGCTTTGAACACTCGATTGGGTATGTTAGTCTGCATTTATTATCATGAGGCATCATTGCTTTTCTATTAAACGCACATATAGAGCAGTAAAACATAGCACAATAAAACTCAAGTCGTAACATTAATTGGTGAGGCCAGACTCTGAGTCTCCAAAGTTTCAAAAAACAAACATGTATAATAAAAGTTGACTCACTAATACAATCTCAGTATCTAGCTACTTATCGTGCTGAAGTCGCAATCTGTTGATAAGAAAGTGATGATAATTGACACGCACTTTGATCGCAATCCTCCCGTTCCAAAAGATTGATTCATATGATCACGTTGTAATTTCCGCATACAAAAATTCATATTTTGTGGTATTTTCATTGTATATCTTGTGTTGAATTAGTTGTGTTGTTGTGTGCTGCTACAGGGTGGGTTACTTGGCAGGGCGACTGGTACAAGCTCTGAACGACAGGCAGCCAGAACTCCTCATCTCTCGCAGAGACATCCTTTGTGTGCAGATTGCTGGACTGTGCCACGACCTAGGTGAGTGCTACGCGGGTCCTCACACTTTAGGTTTTAACTTCTACTGGTTTCCACCAACGAAACAATAGTGCTAGTTCTCTAGTTGGTTCAACTTGGGAACTTTGTAAGAACAGGTTTTGCTTTTGTGCGGGCTAGAGAGCCAACTTAAAGCCATGATGTCACTATACGTTACCAAGGTAGCGTTAGGTAGCTGTTGGTCATTTAACGTTAGCCAAGCAATCAGTGTTACTAACCCGAAACTTAACATTATAGTTATGAACAAACAAAACACTGATTCGAGACCAGCAGTGTCGGTGCCTCACTGGAACCAGTTTTCCTGGCCAAGCAAGCGGGTTCTTGGGCTGTGGAAACTGGTTTGAGATTAGGCACAGGCTCCAAACCAGAGCTCAAACTGTCTTGGTGGAAAATAGGTATTAGTCACTGGGTGGGGGCATGAGTGTGGCAGAGAAACTATTTACGATTATTATCTTCTATTTTCCAGATAAGAATAGAGGTAAAGTTCTGACATTATTTATCCCCCCTCCCCCCCCCTTTCCAGGACATGGTCCATTCTCCCATATGTTTGATGGGATGTTCATCCCCAAAGCACGTCCAGGAATTGTCTGGAAGGTAAGAAACTATGTGATTTTATATTTATATCTTTTGTCCTTGTACACGGAGAGCCGATGAGTCCGAATAAAACATTAGATGCAGTCTCCTCCAGTCTTCTGACTGACTTCCTCCAGCTAACAAAGTCCGTGTGTTGCTGGCGAGTTCTGTTGTGCAGATTTTTCAGACTGTTTTTATGATTCATCAAAAAACTATTTGGCAATTGAGGAGATTCAAACAACTACAACACACTAGCCCAGACGTGCGCATCAACTGCACTGAGCTACCACAAAGAATAATTGTTTCAAGGGGCATCTCAGCTTTGCTCGTTTGAACACAACTCTCAAGATGGACTATTAGGTTTGGAAAGAGTGTGACTCCCCCATTCCAGTGCTTTTAAAATAAGTTAGTGGCTGCTTTAGCAAACAATTCCAAAAAGAGGAGGCATATGTGGTGTTTGGCAGAAAAAATGGGAACAACCCGGAAAAGTCAGACTGACCCAAAATAACTACTATCTGAAAAAGTAGAGTCTTGCGTGAGGGCTGGCTTTTTTTCTTTTTTTTTGAGAAGTAACTGGAAAAGGCCTTGAGCTATCACTTACTTACTCAAAAACTCCCAGACTGTGCCGACTGTTAAATGATCTACTAATAATGAAGTTAACTTAGAGTCCAATAGAGTTTAACTTGCAAGTATGCTGGAAAGATCTACCTATCAGACACAAATCCTCTCATCACATACTGTAATTCCTTAATAGGTGATGTAGTCTTCAAATACCTACCCACTAAACGCAATCCTTGGCACCGACTATACGGACATTGATTGTCCACCTTTCGTCCTTTCTGTAAATGAGTTTAGTTATAAAGCTTTGATGACGTGAAGTTACAGCAATAAACAGATTGGTTTTTTTAAGCAGTTGTAATTACTGATATTCAGGCTGCTGTATAAAGCCGTTATCGTCACCTGACCTGAGGGATTGTGGCGTTCAGAATGAATCAGTGATAAGAGCTACTAGGCACACGGTCCTTATGTAAGTTATGACCACTGGTCTGCCGTCGGACAAACACGAGAGAGATAAGACGAGTCTTCATGTTTGTTTCCCATCATGTTGTAACTGAGATAAGCGCTTTCTATTTGAGTAATACGTCTTCGTGCTTTCATTTTCAGATTGCGGCCGTTCGCGTTTTAATATTAACAGAGTGGGTTTCTTTTGCAGCATGAGATCGCCTCTCTGGCCATGTTTGACTACCTGGTGAAAGACAACGGCCTGAAGCCGGTGATGGAGAAGCACGGCCTGGTGCTGCCCGATGACCTGGACTTCATCAAGGAACAGATTGCTGGACCACTGGTCACTGAAGCAGCTGGTCAGAAGGTATCTAGTTTTTTTTTTTTTTTTTAAAGAGTATTTTATTTATTTTTTTTTCTTATTATTCCAATTCAACAAAATATACATGAACACACAAACACAAAACTCCAAACCCCAACCCACCCACCCACAA